TCTTAATGCTGTTAAGACTCGACATCACTGCTTCCTGTGTGTTAGTCCTGACTTGTAAGATGTGTAGACAAGAATTATTTCAAGGAAACTGTTAAGCTTGCTGTTCTCATACTTGCGTATTCCTAGTGAAACCTGCAGTCAAGTGCTAGAAAACTAAAACTGCTTAATGACTCCAGCTTTAAACTGTTGGGGTGTTTCTTTTTAAGACTTCAAAGTACTGCAAATCTGCTTCCACCTTCTAGCAGATAAAGTGGTCAGAGACCCAGTTTATTTAGTTGGATGCTTTTCCTAGCCTGGGTCCAATGTTTTTCTTTGCTTTGAAGCTCTATGATTAAGCAATATGAGATGGGAATTCAGTTTTATTCCTGAAGATTTATTTTACTCTTTTAGACTTGAGCACAATATTTGAGCATTTGCAAGCTAACTATAACAGGTAGATGGACTGGAAAATTAATAGTTGTGAGGAGCTTAAATGCATGTTCTGGTAACTGTCAAATGTTTTAATACAGCATTTGGAGGCGAGAAATGGAAAACAAATGTCCTGCTGACATCATTCCTTTGTCCTGGGTAAGCTGAGAATATTGTCATGATTAAAAAATTAAAGTCCTTCTCTGACATGCAAAGCTAATTTTGAAGTTTCAGTTATATGAGTAAATCCTGTTTCATCACCCCTTTATTCCAGAAGCTACAAGAATATCATGTCACTTTTGACTAAGATGAATATGTTAATGGCATAGCATCCTTGGATTATTTTTTTTTAGTCAGCATTTGTTTCCTCTCACCACTTGAAAAGGTTGATTAAGAAAGAGCATAATGATAGTAGGAAGTTTTGGACAGGTGCACTTTTTCATTGCTTTCTTTTACTCTCTTGGCTGTTTCCCTGACCACACTGTAGTTGGTCTTACATAGTGTCATATGCTGTAGAAGCATTGTGATAAATCTTTCTTACATAATCACAGCAAGCAGTCTTACCCTGAAGTGTAGTTAAGACAAGCATATATTTGAAATTGCTTAGTTGGAACGTCAGCTCCTGCTGGAGCACAGTCCCACTAGATTAACAAAGAATTGCTTGTTTGACCTCTTGATTTTGATGTTCTGTGTGTCTCATCTGATTGTAACAGATTTACCCCAAAATCTTAATACGGTGCTATTGTTTTGCTAAATATTAAGGAGTATTTCTGTGCTTTAAGTGTGTTCTGTATTTTTCAGAATCGTATTTGCAGATTTTTTTATCATGAACCTCATTCTGTGGGGAGAAGGCTCTTCAGCAGCTATTCCGTTTGGTACTTTGGTTGCCATTTTGGCACTCTGGTTTTGCATATCTGTACCGCTGACATTTATTGGTGCCTATTTTGGTTTTAAGAAAAACGTAAGTGATTTTGAGGAATTGTTTTGTAGGTGTATGTCTACACACACACACACACACACACATATATGTATATATAAAAAAATGCATGTATATTTTTTCACTGTATAGACTACGACTGAAGTCAGCTCCAGTTCTGTTCAATTGCTTTAGAGCTGCATTCAATATTTGATCTGGGGATTCCAAGATTTTGATACTCGGTTGACGGCGGCAATATTTCTCTGCAATGATTAGGGTTGTTACTGTATTTAATTGAGGGACTGCTCCAGATAAAGGAATGATTTGGGCATTTTTATCAGCATCCTTTTCATTACTAAAAAATCAGTTAACTCAGCCAAGCATAACAAAGCAACTTAAGCATTTCTGGTTTTCCCCCATGGTTTTAATTCCTGTCCACCTTCTACACTAAGGATATTTTCTGATCAAATTGCTAGAGCTCTTGTAAAATCTCTTTGCATAAGTGTTCTGCAAATGGTTATCACTGCTTGGCAGACATTTATTGGGATTTACTCCCAAACTAATAATTTTTACGTATATATGAGGCTTTTTGTGACAGTGGTGACCAAACCATCTTAAATAATGAAATTGGTTTCTCTTCTTGCTTAAAAAATGGTTGTCTCTGCCCCACAAACGTAAAGATTTGTAAGTTCAGATATTTTTTTGTTTGTTTTTTCCTGTATAGGAAGTCAGAGTTGTAGCTCTCTCTAGCTCTCTTCGAATACCTTCAGAGAATATTTAAGTATCTTACAAGTTAGTAGTTATCCCATTTTTCTTAACCAGAGTTCAGGGTGTTTTCTGATAGTTGTATTGAAATTTCAGCAACCCCCCCCCCACATTGTACAGAGGCAGTTCCTTTAAGAAAGGAGGATTTGATAGCCTGTAAGGCAACTTGACAGATGTCGCAAATTCATTAAAATCAAATCAGAAAGCAAGTACCTTGCAAGTGTCTGTTGATGCTCTTAATGTAGTCTTTATGAAAGTGAAAAGATGGCAAAAGTGTGCATTTACCTGCCTTATTTTTTTTCTCCCACCATGCTGATTTATGCGTGCATCTTAAATTAGGATTTAATTGCTACGTTGAATCTTCTCAGTTTGTAAGTTTATCCTAACGTGATTCTTGGAGTATGTCCTGAAAAACAAGATAGAGGGATGTTTAGAAGGGGAAGGTAACGGTCTGCACCACCAATACCCCCCAGTTAACAAGCGAGAAATTGGGCTTTGTAACAGATCATGGATAGGTAATCATAAAAAGGGAAGTCCAAAATCTCTGTTCCTATGTTTTCAGTAAGAGCTCCCTTCTACCTTGTTTGACTAGCAGATGTTTGTACCCAGGCTGGTAGCAAAAGCAACTCTAGTGGTAGCTGGGTATGGGCATGCTCAAAACAAACATTAGACTCTTGTTGCCACTCATTTCAAAGAAAGGAAAACGAGAGTGCTGCTGTTTGACATGTTATTTATTTAGCAGTTTATTTTAACAATTAAATTAATTACTGTAACAATTTCTTTATTTTAAAGGCTATTGAACACCCTGTTCGCACAAACCAAATTCCTCGTCAGATTCCTGAGCAATCCTTCTATACAAAGCCGTTACCTGGCATTATCATGGGAGGGATTCTACCTTTTGGATGTATCTTTATACAGTTGTTCTTTATTCTCAATAGTATTTGGTAAGTTCACCACCACCTATTTGAATTTTCGCTGTCATAAAAGGCAGTAAGTCCTTTGCGTAAGTTTTTCTTCAGGATGCTTTGATTTTTGGTGATTCAGGATTACCAGAATATTGGTTCAATAAAAATTTAAATGTTAATGTCTTTTTAGTATTTCATAGTTTAGATGATACCCAGTGCCTGTATGGCTTGTTGAGTGCGTAGAGCAGTGGCACTGCTATGCTTAGCACTTTACAGCTCTCCTATGATATTCAAATAGCTAGTTTTCTCATGCTACTCCTCTGACTTCATGTAGAAGTGGCTCTGAAGTTGAAAGTAGTAAATATATTAAAATTGACTTGAGGGGGTTTTTGTAGTTGTTGTTGGGCTAGAAAAGTATCACTGCTCTTGGGGGAAGAAAAGAATCAAGAACAGATTTTGCAAAATCTTTATAAAGGCACCGGAGAGTAATTACTTTCAAAACTAAAGACCAAAGACTAGTCCAGCATAAGTGAACCCTGATGTGAGCTCACAGCACACTGACAAACCAATCTACTGTGAGGCATTTGTCTTCCTTCTGGCACAGTTTAATTATTGGATCTTGTTAAACTGTTTCTGAACCTTGAATAGGTGCCTTACCCAGCGCAGACAGCTACAGCATTTGACATTTCGTGTTATTTTGCAGCTCTGCCCCTTTGATTGAAATGTGAGGTAAAATCCAAGTTCTGCTGAAGTCAGTGGAAGAGGTCACGCTGACTTCACTGGAGCTGTAATTTCCCTCATTATGTTTAGTCAGTTCTTTCCCCGAATGCCCACAGGGGCTTGCTTTGGGCTTTGCTTTCTCACTGTTTCCAGACTGAGCTGCTGAGGCTCCTGTTCAGTTAGAAAATAAATCAGTCATTCGCATGGCCACACAACTGACAGTGTTTCAGTAGGAAGGGGATACTTAAGGTGAAGGTGATATTACTGCATGTGAAGAAATAATATTAGCACAGTGTCCATTTTAATTTTATTTTTTTTTTCAACTCCCTTTTACAGGTCTCACCAGATGTATTACATGTTTGGCTTTCTGTTTCTGGTATTCATTATTTTGGTTATTACATGTTCTGAGGCTACAATATTGCTCTGCTACTTCCATCTATGTGCAGAGGTGAGGTATTCTTTAGTATTCATACTTGATACTGTTTTAAGAATGCTTCCAAAATTTTTAAGGCTTTTGTAATTGAAAATAATAAACATAATAACATAAACACCATTAGTAGATGAGATGTACTTAAACCATGTCCTTAGAAAGTGAAGCAGACTGCTTTTGGCAGGACTTGTAACAAACGAGAACAACTGCATGGGTCTCTGAGCAACCTGGTCTAGTGGGATGTGTCCTTGCCCATGGCAGGGGATTGGAACTAAAAGATACTTAAGGTCTCTTCTAACCCTAACCATTCTGTGATTTTATATACTGCTAAGTCAGATATCCATGTTTTCTGAAGATGCTAAACTTCATGGTCAGTACTGGTGGGGGGGGGAGGTCTCTGTGGCTGGCACTAGTAGGTCTGGCTTACTTGGGTTTTCAGGTTTTGATCTTCAGGCGTCTTATTTCTAATTGTGAATGGTATAGCTAAAGCAGTATTTATTATATATAGTTCTTTTTCCTGTAGATAAAAACTACAAAAACCTCACTTTTGGATAAAGTGATAGTAGAAAAAGCAGCTCTGCATTCAGGAATAGGGTCAGAGTGCTAGAGATACATGGAATATTACTGATATATATTTTTTTCTCCACCCCTTTTAGGACTATCACTGGCAATGGCGTTCTTTTCTCACTAGCGGCTTCACTGCAGTTTATTTCCTAATATATGCAATACATTATTTTTTTTCTAAGCTGCAAATCACAGGAACAGCTAGCACCATTTTGTATTTCGGTTATACCATGATTATGGTTTTGATCTTCTTCCTTTTCACAGGTAAGCATGTTCAAACTGAACTTTTAAGTTTTGACTTTACCATTACTACCTTTTCACCACAGGCAAAATTTGTGGCAAAACTTATCTTGACACAGGCTTATAGATTCATGTGTCTTTGATATTTTTTTTTCCATATGTATTTGATTTTTGTGTATCATTTTGCACCTCTGTAATCACAAATTTTAGTGAAAGATTAAGTGGGGATGAGGGAAAAGTCTGCTAATTTGAGGAGTGGCCTATGATGAGGTCTTCAAATACAACACCTTTAAACATGATAAATGCTTCTCCAGATTTCATTCCTAGATTAGTCATGTGACAAATTTACCGTTTTTTAAGTAGTTGTTGTTGTTGTTGTGGTTTAAGCCCAGTTGGCAACTCAGCCATGCAGCCCATTCGCTCACTCCCCCCCACCTCCTCCCTCAGCTCCCAGAGGGATGGAGAGGAGAATCAAAAGAATGTAACTCCCACGGGTTGAGATAAGAACAGTCCAGTAACTAAGGTATAACACAAATCACTATTGCTACCACCAATAATAATAATGATAAGGGAAATAACAAGGAAAGAGAATACAGCTGTTCACCACCCGCAGATCAATACCCAGCCCAACCTGAGCAGTGATCTAGCCCTTCTGGGTAACTGCCCCCAGTTTATATACTGGGCATGACATGCTGTGGTGTGGAATACCTCTTTGGTTAATTTGGGTCAGGTGTCCTGTCTCTGCTTCCTCCCGCCTTCCCCCCTCCCTGGCAGAGCATGAGACTCACAAAGTCCTTGGTCAGAGTAAACATTCTGACCAGCAACTAAAACCATCAGTGTTATCAGCACTGTTCCCAGGCCAAAAGTCAGAACACAGCACTGCACCAGCTACTAAGAAGGAGAAAAAATGACTGCTACTGCTGAACCCAGGACAGTTGTCTTTGGAAAAAGACACTTCAAATCACACACAATCAAGTGTAAAATTACTGTGTCAATTAAGGGAAAAATGCAGCTTTTGTGGAATAGGAGGAAGGGAGAGAGGAGTACATGTTGACAGAGTACTTCCTTCCCCCCACCATTTGCTGTCTTCCAAGGTTTCTTCACCCTCTTTCCCGCTTGCATTGAAGTGGCACAGGAAGCAGATAGAATTTCATAATCATTTTTTAATGTATCATATCAGAATCTCTTCATCTTTACTGTGAGCTTTTGGAAAAGCACCTGTCTTGGATGCTGCATTTTAATTACCTCTTCAATAAGCAAGATGAAGGTGTCATCTTCAGTACTAAGAAGGAATCTTCAGACACACATATCCCTTATTTAGGGTGGTAGAATGGCAGTGAAAATGCAAGAAGTCCCCTTTCAAACTCTTGTGCAAGCCAGCAGCAACCACCAACTCCTCAAAAACCTTAAAAAGTCTGAATTCTGTTCCAGCAGGATGTGATATGTTGGTGTGGACTTTACTCTCCAGGGCAGTAATTTTGAAACTATTTTGAACTGATTGGTGCTTTAAATAATTTCAAGCTTCACGTTTATGGTGAAGTTTAATGATTCCTAAGGCTTTGATACGTGTGCACTTACGTGTGCAGCTACCCAGGCTGTATTTTAAGGCCTCTTAGCACACAAGTGGCTTGTAATCGGAGCTTTTAATACTGATCTCTGTGTAACTGTAAGTAGAATTTTCATTTCCACTTAACGTAGGAGAACAAAAGAAACCTGATGGGAAGAGAACTGACACTTGAGAATGATGGTTCATTTTCTATGGTTCATTCTAAGTGCAACCGAATATTCATTTCAAAAACATTGCCGCTTCAGCTTAGGAAATACTGAAGCTGTTTGTGCACCACAACTGAATGCAGATGGTGATGGGCAGAAGTAAGAGCCTGCAAGGAGTTTCTTGGGTCATTGCCTGTTAAAAGGAGGAATGGGACTTAGGTACATTATATAATCTCTTTGCAAAGTGGTCAAGCTGTTTTCCAGAACAGTTTTATCTTTCATCCTTTTTGAGTCAGTCTGATGTGTTTTGGCATTGCTTGCGAATAGTTTGCAATTTACACATCATCTCTACTTCTATTTATATTTTGTGTACTGATAACCAGGTCATTCTGAATTAGTAGATCAGAGATTCTGCCTCTCTTTCTCAGTCCCTTTTATTTCTCATCCTGCCTTTCTCTTAACCTTTATCTCTGTTCTGGGTTTACCGATTATATTATTGCACTAAAGAATATAGGAATGCATGGTAGTTCATGTAGAAACAAATGTGTACTGCTGTATGCAGATCCATTTTAAATGGATGCAAACTCACAAAGTAGCATGCAGAAATAATTAGGCTTTACCTAAGTGTAGGGTCAATTAATTTAGTTTTTCTAGCTTTTCCAGCTGATACTCAGCATGTCTGGCTTTAATAGTGAGCAGTTTTGGCCAGAACCAGAATGATGTTTACCCTGTCTCCTTTGTTCAGTCTGTTTACTCTGGACTTGTGCAGTAATTCTGGAGTGCACACATTCACTCTAAAGGAGATTTACAGTAAATTTTCTATGCTGAGGCTTGGCTTATCTGCCTTTCTGCACTTCAGGTGCCCATACAATTTCCATCTTTTGCCCTTATTCTTTCAAGTTAATTTCACATGTCATTGTTTAGAGGCATTAGGACATGTCCAGTGCATCCCCATTTTCCTTTGCTCACACATTCACTTTCAATTGACCAATTGGCTGTGGAGTATCTGCCAGCAAATTTGGGGAGTCCTTTTCAGGGTAGGTTCACAAGCATGCAGTGAAGAGGTGGTTTACTCTTGGACTGCTTCAGATGCTTTCTGTGGTAGTCATTTGTATGTAATTGGAACTGTGAAATGTGAGTTATACTGTGCAACTTGAACTATGCTTTCAGGGTTTCTATGCTTTCAGGTTTTGAAATCTTCAGTCTCTCTATTGAAATTATGTTGAAATTAGAGGTTAATATATGTGAAGTTGACCACATGTTAGAACTTTGAAACATCATATGCTTAATGATTTATTTTTAATCTACTTTCCACAAGATGAAGTGCAAATTATCCTTTAGTTAGAGAGAATTGTCCTATTTCTAAAGACTTAAGAGTGATTTTGTCCATTCAGGTTGATGCACATTCAAAGGTGAATATGTTGAGTTCTCTGAGATTCACTGAAGTGATCTGATAAAAAGGTTTTACAGAAAAAGAGGCAGGGCAAAGGGACAGGCAGTTCTGTGCCAGTTTCTTAAATGAAAAAACATATTAGCAATTTAGCAAAAACTGCTCCTAAAGGCAGCCGACTTCTGTGTCAGTGTGATAAAGAAGCTAAAAAGAAGGAAAATTGTAATTGTTGTATCAAAACTCTGCTGCTGCTGCTTACTCATCTGTTAAAAGCAGTCAGTATCAGGAAGGGTTTTGATGGTACCCTGCTGCTATGTCAGTGTAACACATGCTTCAGGCGCTTGCATCCGCACTGCATTCCAGGTCATTGATCAGACTCGGCGGGCAAAATACTGGGAGCTACATGACAAATCTTTGACTCACAGCTGGGCCCACTACTACGTATCATAGTAAATGAGTCAGTTAAACATCACTAGTTTAGCAAGCGTGAAGGGGGGGGGGGGAAAGTTACCATGATATCATTCGTGGTTCCTCCCAAGCTTGCCTAGTGAATGAGCACACAGTGTTTGTTGTACTTCTTATCAGATCTAACATAAAGGCAGGGTTGTTTTTTTCTTTAAAGAACATGCTTGGCTCTTGCATAGGAGAAAGCTGTGATTTGTGTAGAGGTAATCAGGCAAAAATCAGATAATCGGCAGGGCTTTTTTCCTGCCCTACTTTTTGCAGAAAATGACAGTTCCTTTATGAGGTGTTCTGTGTCAGTTTTATTAGCAGTAACTGTTCGTTTGTTTGTTTGTAGGAACAATCGGGTTCTTCGCATGCTTCTGGTTTGTAACCAAAATATACAGCGTGGTGAAAGTTGACTGAAGAAACCGATGTAGAGAATTACAGAGAAGAGATTTAATCTTCATTAACGTAACTTAAAGACCTGGTCGGGTTGATGAACTTGAGCTTTATCAGAAGTATTGGCTTCCTGTTCTTTGAGAATGATACTGAATATGCACCTACTTTTCCCACTAACACGTTTGTATTGTGAATTAACAACCTCTTTTCAGTCAGATCTTTATGAGGATCAGAGTTATGATATTTATGCATTTGTAAATACAACCGTCCTTCAAAAGAAATGTTAAATTCTAATGGCAGAGTAGAAGTGGCTGCATTACACAACTTAATGATACTTCTGATCAAAGTTCAGTTGTAAATAGGTTTTTCTAGCTTGGTAGGTGGGATGAATTATTTTTCTTTGAGGGAAATGAACTTTTTATTATGCTGACTTTGAAGGATGACTCTTAAGAAGTGTTGCTTTTAGTTTGGATGTGATTTTTTTTTTTTAATTTTTATTTTTTACTGGTGTTACATCCATAAATATTCTGATTTCTGTGACTTCATTAGTTTCGGTGTTCTTGGCCTTTTAAACTATGTGCCTCTGAGTCCTTGAATTTATAAATTCATAATCTAATAAATATTGTAAAAATCTCTTCAGTGGCTTAGTACATACTACAAATTCATAAAAATATGCAAATACGACTACATTGAAGATGGTTGCCTAGAGTATTTTATGGCATTTTCTATGGTTTAATGTATATTGACACCCCCTTAGATGTGCCAGAAATGTTATTTGTGCTACATGGCTCTGACACAGCAACGTGATTGTGGCGCATGAGTGACACTATACCCACGTGTAACAGAACCACTCCGCAGAACTAACCCAGTCCTTCACACAGGTACGTTTTCAGAGATTGCTGTGGAGCTGTAAGTATGTTGAGAAGATCTTGCAGTGCATGAGTCAGCATTCTCTGCTGATCCTGCTTTCAGATCTTGATGATGCATATTCTACATGGCAACTATTGCTGATTGTACTTAATGTAGGTTTAAAAAATAAAAGAAATGACTATTTTTTGCGTTATACTAAGAGACTAAAGTCAATTTTGGATGACTAGCATTAAACCTATATTTGCTTTTTCTGAAGATGGAGTATTCTGTTCATACCTTGTTTGGTAATTTTAGACTTGTGACACAATTTGGCTTTTGGCATGTTTTCACAAGCCTGATACAAATTTGCTTCAATTAAACTTCATGTACCAATTGCCATTCATAACGTTGCAAGGTTTACGTTTAGAAAAGACTTTAACCTAACAATGCTTGAATACTGAACCCAATAAAAATATCTTTGGTTAAGGTAACTTGTCATTATTAACCTGCTAAAAGCTGGCATGTAAAAAAGGCTTCAGGTGACACTTCCTGAATTGCTGTGCTCCACAGCCCCTCCCATGTGAACCACACTGCTCTTGTGCTCTGCCTGTCCCCAACCACAGCTGTGTTCAGATCTTGTGGACAGGTTGGTGCAGGTGCCCCTCCCTGTGTGCAGCCACTAGGAAATGCTGATTTCAGATAAATCTTCCATGGTTTAGGTTCAAAACAGGAAAAGGGTGAGTATGGTGTTTGTTCTTTGTTGTTTGTTTGCGCACTAATGCAGTGAGCTGTAGTGTTGACTCTTGGTTTAAGTTTTTTAAAGTATGAAATTGAATATTCATAATATCCCTGGGTTTGGGATCACCTACTGTATGTATAGTTGCTGCTTAAAATCATCAGTTGCTATTACACAAATGGGAGTGCTTACTTTGAGAGACATGCACCAGTTGTCTGTTACTGAAATATGAATATAATAGGTGCTCAAGAATTTCAGTGTAGTGATATGAAAATGGATTTTTGTGATGTATTTACAACTGGTGTTTAGAAGTTGGATTAACAGAAGAGATATGTAGCCACTGTGGTTATGTGTATGGGTTTGAAACTGTTTTTTTCCTGCAGGCTATTTGACAAGTCATGGCAGCTTCTCAAGAGCTTTATTTTCACCTTTAAAGGGAGTTTGTGAAGTGTATTGTTATCTTCTGGAATCTAAACCTCCTGCATACACAATTTTCCAGGCTGTTTTGTAACAATTGCAGCTGTTTTGGAATAGAGATGGTTAGGTTGCAGTGCACAGTACTTGAGACAATCCAGGAAGTTTCATACATCACAGAGCTATTCCAGAGTTGGCCCCTCCCTTGGAACCCATTCCTGCCTCGGATAATTTTACAGGTTTTTCTAGCACTGAGGCTTCTGGTGTGTGTTACAGTGTCCAAATGTGCTGCTGTGTACTATATTGTTCTTCAGATCTCTTTTGGAGGCCTGGGGTTTTTGTCTAAACTTTGGAAATACAGGCCTCTTCTAAAATCTTTCTACCTGATTTCTATGGAAATACATAAATAAGTAGACATTCTCTTTAATTATATATATGTAAAATTATAAATAGACATATAAATAAGTAGACATATCGTATTATCACCATGTTTTAAAATACCAACAGTATTTAAAGGGTGAGTACAAAGACAGAGACTCCCTTTTTACAAGGCATCACATGGAAAAGACATGGGGTAATAGGTCCAAGTTACTACTGGAGAGAGTCCAGCTGCACGCAGGAGGACAAGTTTTCACAATGGGAACAATCAGCCATTGGAATAATCTCCCCAGGAGAGTGGTGGACTCCCTGGTGCTGGACACTTGTAAGGTTTGGTTGGACTTGGGTGCCAGGGTATCTTGTCTAGGTCATGCTTTTGCCTATAAAGGTTGGACCAGATGATCCTTGAGGTCCCTTCCAGCCTGGTATTTTGTGAGTCTGTGGCAGAATCATAGAACTGTAGACCAGTCCATTTTTTATTTTTTTTTTAACTGAACATTACTGCAGTGTTGGGTTTCATTTTGCTGCTCCAGGAATGTATGAGCTAGAACTTTGATAAGCTTAGTTGGTGTAGGATACATGTGACCACAACTTTTATGTTATGATGTTACGTGCCATTCTCTTTCCATGCTTCACCGGTCTTTGACAACACCAGTCATTTCTGGGGCAGCAGTATCTCCACTTCAGGAGCACATCACAATGAAGTATTTGCTGAAAGGAAAGAAGATTACTTGTGCAGAGATGGTCTCATCTTCTCCCAAACTGTTGCCTACAATTCAGCTCCAATTTCATTTTTTATTCTCAGTATCCTGTTGTTCCTCCTTACGTCAGACAGTTAATAGCTATCTACTTATTTATGCATCTCCATAAATCTGACTCTTCTATTGCCTCCTATAATGACTTTGGGTAGATGTGCATAGACAAGTGCATGATGCTTCAGGCTAAAGCACAAATCTTCAGGGACTACTGAGAGATTTAATTTATCAGTTGATTATTATATAGCTGCCATCATGCACTTTCTTACTTGAAACATCTGGATCTCACCGCTGATGAGATGAGAGTAGTTAACTGCTTGTAAACCAGATACACACCAAGATTACAAATGAAACCTGTCACATTTGGGCGATGGCACATTCCTCTCCAGCCACAGGATTCCAGCAGTTTCAATGGAAATGCAGTTAAGTTCTTCCTTCCCTCAGAGGTATTTTAGCAGCACCTGCTGGCCACAGCACGTATAAACTGTAAAGTGCTGGAACAAAGTTAAGGGGATGATAGGACGGTTTTACCCAAGTAGTCTACTGGAAGGGCTAATCCTTGACGCCACATCTTTAAATGTATATGCTTATTTTAAAGTTCTTGGAGGTTGGCAGCCAAAAGCCAAGGCAAAGAACAGCAACAGTAATTACACAAATCATCTGGGGGGATTTGGGGGATTTATTTGATTGGTTGTTGGTTTTGTTGGATTTTTTTTATTATATCAAGAATGCAGTAGCTTTTTCTTCTCTATTTGGCAGAAATTATTAAGGTAGAGGAAACATTCTGATGTTTTTCTCAGCTTCCCATAACTATCTTTTGAGTTGTTCACAGTTACCTATTCAGTTGAGGTATGTAAAATCATAGAATAAACTGACTTGGCTACGACTGCGTGTGGTGACCTCCCATCAGGGCAGGCACCTGCATGTACACACTCCAGCCTCTGCTTCCCCTCAGCATTGCTGGAGAGGGATGAGCTTCTCCCTTGCTGGAGGTAAGTAAAGGCAGGTGGATCGTATTCTGCTGCTGCTTATGGCATGCACGAGGAATGAGCTGCTCTGGGATACCAGCAAGGAAGTCACCGGGCTGGCAGGGAGACCTGTTCTCTCCTTTAGTGGCCCAAAAAGCTGTAGGGTTGTGAGATTTCTTCTTCCACCTTAAGAGCTACAAAATAGAGCAATTGGAAGGTCAGGTCTGCTTCCTACTGTTTTCTGCAGGTTCTCACAAGATGTTCCTGGAAACTACGTGTCTCTGCCCGCTGTAGTGAGAGAGCTGAGAAGAAATGGGTGTTTTGTTCTGTTACCCTTTTCCTGCTGTTTACAGGCCATAGTGGCAGCAACAGAGACAAATCACACAATCATGCGTGTTCTCTGCAGTAACTGGACAAAAATTGCAAAAGGGAAAGAGGCTTCTTTCCCTTCCACAAGGACAGCATCCAGACCCAGGGGGAAGAGCCCAAACAAAGAATTGATTAATATACCATGAAAATGTTGGTTTATTAAACCCAATTTGAAGCTGGTTTT